CTTTCTTGAACTGATAACGGGATATCCCACTATCTTGAGCTAAAAATGGGACATCTCACTATCTTGAGGTAAAAACGGAACGTTCCACTTTCTTGAGCTGAAAACGGGACAGCCCACTTTCTTGAACTAAAAACGGGACATCCCACTATCTTGAGCTAAAAACGGGACACACCAAGCAAGTCAGTATAACCCTCCCCCCCCCCCCCCCCCCAATCCCTTTGGTAGAATTTATTATTATTATTACCCATTGAGAAAATAGTACATTATAAGTAAGTAATATTGGCCATTAACACATTTAAGGCTTTAAAACTGTCTAAACGTCTAACATCTAAAAAGTCTACAGATATAACTATATTATAAGTGTATCTTCTTTTCTCGAGATGATTCCTGGATTGTTATTTTTATTATCGACGCGTTGACTGGGACACACCGAAACAACAGGACCACCCAGGGGAAAACGGGACGTATGGTCACCTGACATGTTGAACAGGTCATCTATATGCTGGACTTATCAGACAAGGCAAGGTATCTAATCTGTTCGGGTGGCGATCAGAAAACATACCCCGACCCATCCAGAGGCTGTTCTAGATGTCAGGTCACAGACACAAATGTCATGTACCTACCCGTACCATCCAGAGGCTGTTCTAGATGTCAGGTCACAGACACAAATGTCATGTACCTACCCGTACCATCCATAGGCTGTTCTAGATGTCAGGTCACACACACATGTCATGTACCTACCCGTACCATCCAGAGGCTGTTCTAGATGTCAGGTCACAGACACAAATGTCATGTACCTACCCGTAGCATCCAGAGGCTGTTCTAGATGTCAGGTCACAGACACACATGTCATGTACCTACCCGTACCATCCAGAGGCTGTTCTAGATGTCAGGTCACAGACACACATGTCATGTACCTACCCGTACCATCCACGGACTGCTCTAGATGTCAGGTCACAGACACACATATCATGTACCTACCCGTACCATCCACGGACTGCTCTAGATGTCAGGTCACAGACACAAATGTCATGTACCTACCCGTACCATCCATAGGCTGTTCTAGATGTCAGGTCACAGACACAAATGTCATGTACCTACCCGTACCATCCATGGGCTGTTCTAGATCCGACATCTTCTGCGCCAGAAAGATGACTTGGTCATTAAGAGCCACAACTTTGCTCATGGCTGACTGCATGGTGTTTTGTTTGCTTTCCAGCTTCATCAGCTTATCCTCCAGGGTTCGGATCTTCTTTAACAGTTCTGGTGATGAAAGCCGTGTTTGGAAAAAAATGTGATAAGAGGGCGTAGGTGACGGGGGACAACACATGTGATAACAGGGCGTAGGTGACGCGGGAAAACACGTGATAAGAGGGCGTAGGTGACGCGGGAAAACACATGTGATAAGATGGCGTAGGTGACGCCGGAAAACACATGTGATAAGAGGGCGTAGGTGACGCGGGAAAACACATGTGATAAGAGGGCGTAGGTGACGCGGGAAAACACATGTGATAAGAGGGCGTAGGTGACGCGGGAAAATACATGTGATAAGAGGGCGTAGGTGACTCGGAAAAACACATGTGATAAGAGGGCGTAGGTGACTCAGGAAAACACATGTGATAACAGGGCGTAGTTGACTCGAGAAAACACATGTGATAAGAGGGCATAAGTGACTCGAGAAAACACATGTGATAAGAGGACGTAGGTGACGCGGGAAAACACATGTGATAAGAGGGCGTAGGTGACGCGGGAAAACACATGTGATAAGAGGGCGTAGGTGACGCGGGAAAACACATGTGATAAGAGGGCGAAGGTGACGCGGGAAAATATATGTGATAAGAGGGCGTAGGTGACTCGGGAAAACATATGTGATAAGAGGGCGTAGGTGACTCGGGAAAACATTTGTGATAAGAGGGCGTAGGTGACTCGGGAAAACACATGTGATGAGAGGGCGTAGGTGACGCGGGAAAACACATGTGATAAGAGGGCGTAGGTGACGCGGGAAAAACACATGTGATAAGAGGGCGTAGGTGACTCGGGAAAACATATGTGATAAGAGGGCGTAGGTGACTCGGGAAAACACATGTGATGAGAGGGCGTAGGTGACGCGGGAAAACACATGTGATAAGAGGGCGTAGGTGACGCGGGAAAAACACATGTGATAAGAGGGCGTAGGTGACTCGGGAAAACATATGTGATAAGAGGGCGTAAGTGACTCGGGAAAACACATGTGATAAGAGGGCGTAGGTGACGCGGAAAAACACATGTGATAAGAGGGCGTAGGTGACGCGGGAAAATACATGTGATTAAAGGGCGTAGGTGACGCAGGAAAACACATGTGATAATAGGGAGTAGGTGACTCAGGAAAACACATGTGATAAGAGGGCGTAAGTGACTCGGGAAAACACATGTGATAAGAGGGCGTAGGTGACGCGGGAAAACACATGTGATAAGAGGGCGTAGGTAACGCGGGAAAAACCCACAAGTCAATTGCAATTACAAGTTTCTATTTCAAACAAAATTTGTTGCACAAACTTTACAATGCTTGGCACCCAACCATGTCTGAATTTCTGGCTACTCTGTATCCATCGGGGCCAAATACAGCCTTATTGTTGAATAGGGCTTCTGGGATTTGTGTCTGGGAGAATCCCCATACGACTCTTTGAGTCACCGGCCTATTAGACGGTGCTAGTCGGATTCAGCTGTACTCACCACCAACAATAATTTTTCTTGGTTGTTTGTGGTTTTACTGAATACATCTGCTTTCATTAGTTTTCGCAAGAGATGAAGCGACAACATCAGGAACAACCTAACATAAATGAACACCAATGTGTACAATGCATTAGTAAAAAAGCACAAATAATCCTTACATCTTCCCCCAGCACCTCGATAAGGTAAATGATGAAGGGAAGAAGAAGAAGAAGAAGTTTTCAATTGTCGGATGTCGGAAGTCCATACCATTGTCAAGGGATCTGCCGCCAATTCATGTGCAATTGTATCGAACTGGGTGTAACTGAAACAGGGCGCATAATCCAATGTCCGTGTGTGGGTTGTTTGACCCTACCAGGACCCTCCAGCGAGCGACCAACACAAAGTGCCACCGTTAGCATGAGGGTCACCCTGGCTCTAATTCCGGAAACCCCGTTTAACCATAGGTTATATTTGGGCAATCGACTACAGCCATAGTTGGGGGGGGGGGGGGAGGTGGAGAGAGAAAGAGAAAAAAAAAGGGGGGGGGGAGGGAGATAGTGTTGTGGATGTCAGATGATAACTCCTGACATTTTGGTTTGGATACAAGAACAACCACCCCCTTGCAGCCAGACTCGGAGTTATTTTCCTTGAAGAGAACTTATTCCAGTTAACACACGTACGTTCTGTTCTTGCCTTGTTCTTTACCTTCTCTCCACCTCCGTGCTTCATGTTTTCAGGCCCACACTTGACCAGGTCAGTTCCAATCCTTTGATGCTGACACATTGACTTGACCACTTCAACAGCCAAGTGGGCATCTTTGATCTAGTACGGGAAACAACCAGAATCCCCAGAGCACAGAAAGCAGAGCACGGACAATGTAACGAATGCCACCGTTTTCTGGCCTCAAATATGACCATACATTTATACCTTAGTTCAGATATGTCAGATTTTTTTAAAGTATCCAAAAATCATGAGTTGTTAACCCTTGGCTCGGTACTATGGATATCGCAACTTATGATTCCATGATAGGTACCGTAAATCTGGGATAAATTTAGCTTTTCTACCTACCCCCGGGAGTAAGTCCGAACCACAAGGAGTTTGTCACCCGGTCACCGCGAAGTCAGGTTTATCCAACTACGCTAGGGAGCGAATCTTTCATGTGTACATGTGATCTGGCACATGAGACAAGACTGTGCCAAATAAAACATATCAAGGCAAAACATCTGACATAGAGAAATATCGATTGAATCGAAGCTTTACAGGTCGCTGATTGAATCACAGGGAACTTCATACTATTTCAAGCGAACGAATGAAGAAGCAGAAGTTCTGCTGACTGTGATCGTTTGTTTGTGTGTGTGCGCGGTATATGATTTCACAAAAGTATGAAATACATGCAAATGGCATTTCTCAAACAAATGAAGCTATTCAATTATCTTGGAACAGTCGTGACATCTGACACAAGATGTCTTACAGAAACTAGAATACAATCGCTATGGGAAAAGTGGCCTTTAGCAAGATGAAATAAATCCTCACAAATGAGGAAAAAAAGAAAAGAGCAATATTGTGCTCTGTGAAACCTGTGTTGTTGTATGGATGTGAGACATGGACAAAAAGCAGGAAAGCTGGAAAACAATGTGGCTATGAAGATGTTTCACTGACGCACCTTTGTATAAACTGATACTGTCTCTTTTACCGGAATTTGCAGTAATAATTTGTTTTCATCTAAATTTTTTTTCCAATGAATGTACAGTTTGTTTACAGTAAGAAAATATGTCTGTCCTCAACACCACGACCGTCTGTCTGCCTGCATGTGTGTGTGCGCGCGAGCGCGTGTGTGCCTGTATATGTGTGTGTGTGCGGGAGCGCGTGTGTGCCTGTATATATATGTGTGTGCGCGTGTGTGTGCCTGTATATGTGTGTGTGTGTCTGTCTGTCTGTCTGTGTATGTGTGTCTGCCTAAGTGTCTATGTGTGTGTCTCTGTGTGTATCTCTGTGTGTGTGTCTGAGTGTGTGTCTCTGTATGTGTGTCTGTGTATGTGTGTCTGCCTGAGTGTCTATGTGTGTGTTTCTGTGTGTATCTGTGTGTGTGTGCGTCTGAGTGTGTGTCTCTGTATGTGTGTCTGTGTGTTTGCGTGTATGTCTGCGTGTCTGTATGCCTGCGAGTGTGTCTGTGTGTGTCTGCGTGTTTATGTGTGTCTGTGTATGCCTGTCTCACCGTCCTGGCCTCATAAATCACACACACACATACACAAACACACACACACACACACACAAAACACCAACACCAGAAATCTGTCAACGCCTCATACCTCTCTCGTATCGAGTTCTTGAACTTTTGTTCTTGTCCCTCCATCCTCGATGTTCTCCCTTATCGTTTTCGTCCACGCTTCTACGGTTTCCGGTTCTCCTGATTTCAGACGCGACCCCTGGCGATCCAGGCGGTCCTGGTAATCCTATGGGACCTGGCGGTCCTTCAACCTCACTGATATTGGTGGTGGTGGTGGGGGGGGGGGGGAATGTTTAAAACAAACTTAGGAAAACTAATAAACTGTTCATGTATTTCACAAAAACGAATCGACGGACGTATTTTTGACCACAAATGAGGACAATGTAGCTGTCATAATGATAAAATTATCATTTAATATTTATAATCGAAGTAAATGCCATAGAGGCAGATATTTTACCCAGAATTCACATCTTTAATAAGTTGAATCTATAAGTATGTTGTTCAGTTAGACTGGTCACCTAGGTCAGGCGGAAGCCACCTGCGTGTAGGTCGTGGGATCAGGTCCTAGCGGTGCTAGACTTGTTTCTTCACAAAATGCCCTTGTCTCCCCAGTCGCCTGAGTCTGAAATGGGTACCAGGTAAAGTCCCGGGAAGTAAAAGCTACCAGCGTGATGTTGACCACATCACTCACCGAGTGCTGCTTGGTCTAAAATGTAGGTCTAGCCCTATGTGCCCAACACGCTTAAAGGTGTGGAAAAGGGCACTTACTTTTATATGAAAGACCAGGCAGATCAAAGATACAAGCGCAGATGGTGAATTGTTTAGCAATGTTCTTGAACTGGGCTCTGCCATTTTGATTTAATTTCATATTGTACTGTAAGATCGCATTAGGTCAACAAGAACAAGAACAAGAACAAACACTATACAATGTACATTACAGTCAATGTAAAAATGGTAATAAAATGTAAAATAGCAATGATGAAAAACATATACGTCACTTAGGCAGTAAATAGATTGTAAACGAAGGGATAGAATCGGACTATTGAAGCTCTCGGGCCGCACTTGAGGTTATAAAGGCCGCACACATCCGCAGCACACATCCATGGTCCACACTTGGAGTCACAAAGGGGCGCACACATCCATGGTCCACACTTGGAGTCACAGAGGGCCGCACACATCCATGGTCCACACTTGGAGTCACAAAGGGGCGCACACATCCATGGTCCACACTTGGAGTCACAAAGGGGCGCACACATCCATGGTCCACACTTGGAGTCACAAAGGGGCGCACACATCCATGGTCCACACTTGGAGTCACAAAGGGGCGCACACATCCATGGTCCACACTTGGAGTCACAAAGGGGCGCACACATCCATGGTCCACACTTGGAGTCACAAAGGGGCGCACACATCCATGGTCCACACTTGGAGTCACAAAGGGGCGCACACATCCATGGTCCACACTTGGAGTCACAGAGGGCCGCACACATCCATGGTCCACACTTGGAGCCACAAAGGGCCGCACACATCCATGGTCCACACATGGAGTCACAGAGGGGCGCACACATCCATGGTCCACACTTGGAGTCACAGAGGGCCGCACAAATCCATGCTCCACACCTGTTAAGTCAAGGTTATGTCCTACAGTCAAGTCCAGGTGTATGTCCTACCTGTCAAGTCCAGGTGTATGTCCTACCTGTCAAGTCCAGGTGTATGTCCTACCTGTCAAGTCCAGGTTATGTCCTACCTGTCGAGTCCAGGTTATGTCCTACCTGTCAAGTCCAGGTTATGTCCTACCTGTCAAGTCCAGGGTATGTCCTACCTGTTAAGTCCAGGTGTATGTCCTACCTGTCAAGTCCAGCTTATGTCCTACCTGTCAAGTCCAGGTGTATGTCCTACTTGTCAAGTCCAGGTTATGTCCTACCTGTCGACTTCAGGTTATGTCCTACCTGTTAAGTCCAGGTTATGTCCTATCTGTTAAGTCCAGGTTATGTCCTACCTGTTAAGTCCAGGTGTATGTCCTACCTGTTAAGTCCAGGTTATGTCCTACCTGTCAAGTCCAGGTTATGTCCTACCTGTTAAGTCCAGGTTATTTCCTACCTGTTAAGTCCAGGTTATGTCCTACCTGTCAAGTCCAGGTTATGTCCTACCTGTCAAGTCCAGGTGTATGTCCTACCTGTTAAGTCCAGGTTATGTCCTATCTGTCGAGTCCAGGTGTATGTCCTACCTGTTAAGTCCAGGTTATGTCCTACCTGTCGAGTCCAGGTATATGTCCTACCTGTCGAGTCCAGGTGTATGTCCTACCAGTTAAGTCCAGGTTATGTCCTACCTGTCGAGTCCAGGTGTATGTCCTACCTGTTAAGTCCAGGTTATGTCCTACCTGTCAAGTCCAGGTTATGTCCTACCTGTCGAGTCCATGTGTATGTCCTACCTGTCGAGTCCAGGTGTATGTCCTACCTGTCGAGTCCAGATGTATGCCCTACCTGTCAAGTCTAGGTGTATGTCCTACCTGTCGAGTCCAGGTGTATGTCCTACCTGTCGAGTCTAGGTGTATGTCCTACCTGTCATGTGCAGGTTATGTCCTACCTGTAAAGTCCAGGTTATGTCCTACCTGTCAAGTCTAGGTGTATGACCTACCTGTCAAATCCAGGTGTATGCCCTACCTGTCAAGTCTAGGTGTATGTCCTACCTGTCAAGTGCAGATTATGTCCTACCTGTCAAGTCCAGGTTATGTCCTACCTGTTAAGTCCAGGTTATGTCCTACCTGTCGAGTCCAGGTGTATGTCCTACCTGTCGAGTCCAGGTGTATGTCCTACCAGTTAAGTCCAGGTTATGTCCTAACTGTCGAGTCCAGGTGTATGTCCTACTAGTTAAGTCCAGGTTATGTCCTACCTGTCGAGTCCAGGTGTATGTCCTACCTGTTAAGTCCAGGTTATGTCCTACCTGTCAAGTCCAGGTTATGTCCTACCTGTCGAGTCCATGTATATGTCCTACCTGTCGAGTCCAGGTGTATGTCCTACCTGTCGAGTCCAGGTGTATGCCCTACATGTCAAGTCTAGGTGTATGTCCTACCTGTCGAGTCTAGGTGTATGTCCTACCTGTCGAGTCTAGGTGTATGTCCTACCTGTCAAGTGCAGGTTATGTCCTACCTGTGAAGTCCAGGTTATGTCCTACCTGTTAAGTCCAGGTGTATGACCTACCTGTCAAGTCCAGGTGTATGCCCTACCTGTCGAGTCTAGGTGTATGTCCTACCTGTCAAGTGCAGGTTATGTCCTACCTATCAAGTCCAGGTGTATGCCCTACCTGTCAAGTCTAGGTGTATGACCTACCTGTCAAATCCAGGTGTATACCCTACCTGTCAAGTCTAGGTGTATGTCCTACCTGTCAAGTCCAGGTTATGTCCTACCTGTCGAGTCCATGTGTATGTCCTACCTGTCGAGTCCAGGTGTATGACCTACCTGTCGAGTCCAGGTGTATGCCCTACCTGTCAAGTCTAGGTGTATCACCTACCTGTCAAGTCCAGGTGTATACCCTACCTGTCAAGTCTAGGTGTATGACCTACCTGTCAAGACCAGGTGTATGACCTACATGTCAAGTCCAGGTTATGTCCTACCTGTCAAGTCCTGGTGTATGTCCTACCTGTCAAGTCCTGGTGTATGTCCTACCTGTCAAGTCCATGTTATGTCCTACCTGTCAAGTCCAGGTGTATGTCCTACTTGTTAAGTCCAGGTGTATGTCCTACCTGTCAAGTCCAGGTTATGTCCTACCTGTCAAGTCCTGGTGTATGTCCTACCTGTCAAGTCCTGGTGTATGTCCTACCTGTTAAGTCCATGTTATGTCCTACCTGTTAAGTCCTGATGTATGTCCTGCCTGTCAAGTCCAGGTGTATGTCCTACCTGTCAAGTCCAGGTGTATGTCCTACCTGTCAAGTCCATGTTATGTCCTACCTGTTAAGTCCTGGTGTATGTCCTACCTGCCAAGTCCTGGTGTATGTCCTATCTGTTAAGTCCTGGTGTATGTCCTACCTGTTAAGTCCTGGTGTATGTCCTACCTGTTAAGTCCAGGTTATGTCCTACCTGTCAAGTCCAGGTGTATGTCCTACCTGTCAAGTCCAGGTTATGTCCTACCTGTCAAGTCCAGGTGTATGTGCTACCTGTTAAGTCCAGGTGTATGTCCTACCTGTCAAGTCCAGGTGTATGTCCTACCTGTTAAGTCCAGGTTATGTCCTACCTGTCAAGTCCAGGTGTATGTCCTACCTGTCAAGTCCAGGTGTATGTCCTACCTGTCAAGTCCATGTTATGTCCTACCTGTTAAGTCCTGGTGTATGTCCTACCTGTCAAGTCCTGGTGTATGTCCTATCTGTTAAGTCCTGGTGTATGTCCTACCTGTTAAGTCCTGGTGTATGTCCTACCTGTTAAGTCCAGGTTATGTCCTACTTGTCAAGTCCAGGTTATGTCCTACCTGTCAAGTCCTGGTGTATGTCCTACCTGTCAAGTCCTGGTGTATGTCCTACCTATCAAGTCCTGGTGTATGTCCTACCTGTCAAGTCCAGGTTATGTCCTACCTGTCAAGTCCAGGTTATGTCCTACCTGTCAAGTCCAGGTTATGTCCTACCTGTCAAGTCCTGGTGTATGTCCTACCTGTCAAGTCCTGGTGTATGTCCTACCTATCAAGTCCTGGTGTATGTCCTACCTGTCAAGTCTTGGTGTATGTCCTACCTATCAAGTCCTGGTGTATGTCCTACCTGTCAAGTCCTGGTGGTCCCTGCGGGCCAGGTGGACCCATGGGACCTGGAGGTCCTCTTTCACACTGGCACTTAGTGTTTTGTGGACTAGGCATCAGTCTCAGTGGCTCGCTGTCACGGCTAGGTACGTAATGCGGCTGTGTGAAATTGTAAATAGAAAAAAAAAAGAAAGAATGGGTTAGATGTGTACAATCTAATAATGAAGGAATAAATGCATGTATGAATTAGTAATTGAAGAATTAGTTTTTGAACAGACAACTGAATCCAGGAATTACGAATAAATGAACGGCATAAGTAATTGATGTATGCATTAATTAATTAGGAATGTTTTAGTTATAATTGCGCGAAAGGAAGCCTAATGCAGCAATGCACACACTGATGTATGAATTAATGAAAGTGATAATGAACAAATAATTACTCCTGACAAAATTGGATGATTATGAAATAATGAGTAAAGTTGTATCTGGTAAGTGAATGTATATTTTAAATGGAAAAGCTGTGGCATTAATGGATCATTAATGTATTCATAAAGATTAAAGTTAGTTGCGTATCCTTTACAGGAAATTGGAGAACCAACCCCAGCATTTGTTGGCTGTTGTGGATTTTCTAGGCAAATTTTACGTTCAGTCGTTTGCCATTGCCACTGAACGCTCGAAACCGACGTAAGACAAATCGTACGCAGCTGGGATCAAACCCGACACCCCGGCATTACGAAAAGCGTTCGCAACGCCTAAGTCATAGACGCAGACAAATAAAGATTAGAACAGCTAATTCGACGAACAAGCGATTAGATGAACTAGCAAACTCGAATTTATTATCAAACGACAGGATTCAAATACTTGACACAACTGCCGTGCTGAACTGTCGATATAAAATATGCGTCAAGTGGCCGGTTATTTCAAATATTCCAAATCCAAGTGAGAATGAGCGTCGCCTGGCTGAAGTGTATGACCGGCTCCTTGATTGTGGGAATGTCCGCCAGAAATGGCTCACAGCCATTAACTGTCAGCAGACTTGGGGGTTTTCTAGTGCGGGGGCGGGAGTGTAATTCTAAAGATCGAAATGTATTGTACGGATGAGCTGCGAAATAAAACCATGACACAACGACTGCCCAGAGCACTAGCTGCGATATAAAACCATGACACTGGGCTACAACCTTGTATCACTGAGACGACAAAACCGTGACACTGGGCTACAACCTTGTATCAGTGAGACGACAAAACCATGACACTGGGCTACAACCTTGTATCAGTGAGACGACAAAACCATGACACTGGGCTACAACCTTGTATCAGTGAGACGACAAAACCGTGACACTGGGCTACAACCTTGTATCAGTGAGACGACAAAACCATGACACTGGGCTACAACCTTGTATCAGTGAGACGACAAAACCATGACACTGGGCTACAACCTTGTATCAGTGAGACGACAAAACCGTGACACTGGGCTACAACCTTGTATCAGTGAGACGACAAAACCGTGACACTGGGCTACAACCTTGTATCTGTGAGACGACAAAAACCATGACACTGGCTACAAACTTGTATCAGTGAGCCGACAAAACAGTGACACTGGGGGCAACCTTTGTATCTGTGAGACGACAAAAACCATGACACTGGGCTACAACCTTGTATCAGTGAGACGACAAAACCGTGACACTGGGCTACAACCTTGTATCAGTGAGACGACAAAACCGTGACACTGGGCTACAACCTTGTATCTGTGAGACGACAAAACCATGACACTGGGCTACAACTTGTATCAGTGAGACGACAAAACCATGACACTGGGCTACAACCTTGTATCAGTGAGACGACAAAACCGTGACACTGGGCTACAACCTTGTATCTGTGAGACGACAAAACCATGACACTGGGCTACAACCTTGTATCAGTGAGACGACAAAACCGTGACACTGGGCTACAACCTTGTATCAGTGAGACGACAAAACCGTGACACTGGGCTACAACCTTGTATCTGTGAGACGACAAAACCGTGACACTGGGCTACAACCTTGTATCAGTGAGACGACAAAAAACCGTGACCTGGGCTACAACCTTGTATCAGTGAGACGACAAAACCGTGACACTGGGCTACAACCTTGTATCTGTGAGACGACAAAACCATGACACTGGGCTACAACCTTGTATCAGTGAGACGACAAAACCATGACACTGGACTACAACCTTGTATCATTGAGACGACAAAACCGTGACACTGGGCTACAACCTTGTATCAGTAAGACGACAAAACCATGACACTGGGCTACAACCTTGTATCAGTGAGACGACAAAACCGTGACACTGGGCTACAACCTTGTATCAGTGAGACAACAAAACCATGACACTGGGCTACAACCTTGTATCAGTAAGACGACAAAACCGTGACACTGCGCTACAACCTTGTATCAGTGAGACGACAAAACCGTGACACTGGGCTACAACCTTGTATCAGTGAGACGACAAAACCATGACACTGGGCTACAACCTTGTATCAGTGAGACGACAAAACCGTGACACTGGGCTACAACCTTGTATCAGTGAGACGACAAAACCGTGACACTGGGCTACAACCTTGTATCAGTGAGACGACAAAACCATGACACTGGGCTACAACCTTGTACCAGTGAGACGACAAAACCGTGACACTGGGCTAACAACCTTGTATCAGTGAGACGACAAAAACCGTGACAATGGGCTTACAACCTTGTATCAGTGAGACGACAAAACCGTGACACTGGGCTACAACTCTTGTATCAGTGAGACGACAAAACCGTGACACTGGGCTACAACCTTGTATCAGTGAGAACGACAAAACCGTGACACTGGGCTACAACCTTGTATCAGTGAGACGACAAAAACCATGACACTGGGCTACAACCTTGTATCAGTGAGACGACAAAACCATGACACTGGGCTACAACCTTGTATCAGTGAGACGACAAAACCGTGACACTGGGCTACAACCTTGTATCAGTGAGACGACAAAAACCGTGACACTGGGCTTACAACCTTGTATCAGTGAGACGACAAAAACCGTGACACTGAGCTACAACCTTGTATCAGTGAGACGACAAAACCGTGAAACTGGGCTACAACCTTGTATCAGTGAGACGACAAAACCGTAACACTGGGCTACAACCTTGTATCAGTGAGACGACAAAACCGTTACACTGGGCTACAACCTTGTATCAGTGAGACGACAAAACCATGACACTGGGCTACGACCTTGTATCAGTGAGACGACAAAACCGTGACACTGGGCTACAACCTTTGTATCAGTGAGAGACGACAAAACCGTGACACTCGGGCTACAACCTTGTATCAGTGAGACGACAAAACCATGACATCTGGGCTACAACCTTGTATCAGTGAGACGACAAACAACCATGACACTGGCTACAACCTTGTATCAGTGAGACGACAAACCCGTGGTTGTGGGGGGTGGGGGGACCCCCACTGGGCTACAACCTTGTATCAGTGAGACGACAAAACCATGACACTGGGCTACAACCCTTGTATCAGTGAGACGACAAAAACCATGACACTGGGCTACAACCTTGTATCAGTGAAACGACAAAACCATGACACTGGGCTACAACCTTTGTATCAGTGAGACGACAAAACCGTGACACTGGGTCTACAACCTTGTATCAGTGAGACGACAAAACCGTGACACTGGCGCTACAACCTTGTATCAGTGAGACGACAAAACCGTGACACTGGGCTACAACCTTGTATCAGTGAGACGACAAAACCAGGACACTGGGGTACAACCTTGTATCAGTGAGACGACAAAACCGTGACACTGTGCTACCAACCTTGTATCAGTGAGACGACAAAAACAACGACAATGGGATACAACCTTGTATCAGTGAGACGACAAAACCGTGGACACTGGGCTACACCTGGCATTAAAAATCACAAGTGCTGGAAAGTTTTTTCAGAGGACCGATATGGGTTTGCCATTTGTACCGATGAGAGCGAACTTTCTGCAAAGAGCCTGCAGCATGTTGATGATGAATGATATTATGGGCCATTTGTTAGGTCATAAAATCACTTCAGAGGTCCTGGGTAGTTAGTATCCTTCGGTCTTTTCCCCAGGTAATGTCGCTGTGTTTGGGCAACAGACAGCCAGACAGACAGACAGACAGACAGACCGACAGACGGGCTGATTCTGCCCGCTTGGTGGTGAAGTGATTCTGTACTAGAAGCAAGGCCTAAGGGGAAATATATTAGAGGAAAAGAGGCGATACAATAATTAAGGATAATATAAAAAGCTACTCCTTGAACCTATCTTATATTGAAAACATCAAGAGCTCCAACAAGCGTGTCGTGGTGAATGTAAGCCAACCCACACTCAAGAGTTTGCAGTAACAAGGCAAAAAAGAGGAAAAGCTCGTTAGGCGGAGGCTAAGACTAATAGTGTCTTATCCCAGACATGATATATTCTGCTGAAGTCTAATCAGTAGTATCACTAAAAATAGACACACTAACTACAATCATGCTATATCCGAGCGATCATACACACTGCTTACCTAAGTGTGACCCACACAATCTAAAATTACTAATGGAAATTTAATTCGAACACGGAAACACTAACTTACGGAGAAGTATCGAAACCGAAAAATAGCCCACCTCATCCCGCGACGCAGCCTCCCTCTCTCTCTCTCTAGGGCGAACTTGTT